AGCTTTAAAAACTACCATGGAGAACTAGTTAAAAAAATTTTTTTTTCGCACTTCTGCTTTCTTGCAGACCAACACATGGTCTTACTGTGCAGGACATCACAGGTTACTCACTCTGGGAGTCTGATAACAACCAAACTGTCTGTTCCCCCTAACAAAATGATGGTATCTGTACTTAGATGTGATGTTGCACAGCAATGTCAGCTGACTACGAAAGGTTTTTTTAAAGCATTCTCTCAATTTCTGTATTTCCTTTGTCTTTGACTGGCAACAGCTTGTGGACCAGCACCGGTCTGAGGATCATGCTTTGGGCGGCACTGGCCTAGGCGTCATTCTAAGGCTTAGTTCTACATCCTTGAATTAAAACTAATGGGCCATGGGGAACTGGAGTGGCTCAAGGCAGCTTTCGAAGACTTGAACGGAGACTCGTGCAATGTGCAGAGAGCCGTGGTCTCTGTCCTTCTACCCCAGGTCAGACCTGGACCTTCCACTGACCTACTGTGCTGAATCTCAGATTAAGGCAACGTTAAACAGAAAGCAGTGGGTGATCCCCAGAGGCCACAGCAGTGGAGAGGGAATGAGAGTTCTTGCAGCTTTGGAACCTGTTACCGAGTCCAAGCTCGTACTGCTTGCCGTATGACAGGCCAATAAATCGAGAGACGAGTTGTTAGGGTAAGGAATAGCGACTTTATTCAGAAAGCCAGCAAACTGAGAAGACAGTGGACTCATGTCCCAAAGAACCATGTTGCCTGAGTTAAAATTCAGCCTTCTTTTATAATAAAAAGGGAGGGAATAAAGTCCAACATTTCCTGGTTCCAGTCAGCCTCTGAGGGGATGTGCTAATTTCCTCCTTCCTGCAGTAATTCACACGTGGGCCTGGTCAGGATGTTTCCTGTGAGCAAAAGGTATTTTAGCTTAATGATCATTACCTGGGAGGCAGGGCTCCCAGAGGTGGGCCACTGTGTAAAATTTGAGCTTATAGGTGACATCCCTTTAGTGATTGACTTGTAATAGAATGCAAAGTTTCTTCCCCATTACGAACCTTCTTGCAGAACTTAAGTGGACCTTGTCAAGGTCCACTCTATACTTTAGAAGAGAAATAAAGGTGGTGAAGGATGGTAAATACCATGTACTTGTATTCGTCTTAATAATTAGCCATAGTGACACCTGGGTGATCAATCCTGTGATGTCTTATGGCACAACCAGCTCCAATTGCAGGAAGAGCGGGAAAGAGTTTCAGCTTCACAAACCGAAAAGAAACAGTTTGTTTACTCAATGTACCAACAGTTTGTGTCCCCAAAAATCATTTATTAAGACAATCATTTGTAATGTAAGAGCACAATTTGCCTTCAAAACAATGTTAAGAATGGTGGTTAATTTTCCTGTTTACTCACAGAAAACCATTTAAGCCAGGCAGTAACTGACTTAAACACTATTTTTCTCTTTTTTATGATTCCATGGGTCAGGTCAAGTCAAGCAGCCAAGAACATTGCTTTCTCTGTTATAAGCTCTTGAGATCCAAGTTCCAAACTTTGATAGAAGGGGTTTCCCCTCTCTTTCTCAGGGTGCCTCATGGAGAAACAGGATTTGTCTGGACTTCCTTGTTCTGGAAAGGACAACAAGATGACTCTGGTCCCTTGCAGCGGTAACCAGCAAGGAAGCAGGATTCCCGATGAAGGGTTTCATTAGCTGTGTCTTTAAGGCTTGGAGTATAAAACCATGTTTGATGAGCAGTGTTTGATGAGCAGGGACCTTTGTGGTAAAAGCTTCCAGGGGTGGCTGGGAGTGAGGCATGGGATCTCTTAGAGAAGGAAAAATCATGGGGTGAGAGCTAGAAACACTGGATCAAGAGTCACCCAGTGGAAGACTGGGATGAAGCCGCATGAGTGAAAAAGGAAGAAGAAAGACATACTCACATGACAAGAGTTGAAGGGCAATATATGCAGCTCTGTCAGCTGGGGATTGAAATTCCACAGTTGAAGGCTCATTTTCATATGTTCACATTTATGGGGCAGAAGCCTTGAAGGAGAGGCCCTAAATATGTCCTTCTGGAAAGATGACTCTGCATCTTTAGTGTCTCCTGTGGGAAATGTAATAGAGGTGGGACAGATCCAAGTTTCATGGAGCCTGAAGCTTATGCAATTTGTGGATACTTTAGGAAAAAAAAGCAAACTTAAAAATGTAAAATTAGGTATGAATATAAATATTTATTTACATAAGACAATAAATTTTTTAAATATCCATTTTAAAAAGCTAGCAAATACAGGCATACCTCAGAGATACTGTGGGTTTGGTTCCAGACCACTGCAATAAAGGGTATATTGCCATAAAGCGAGTCAAATGGATTTTGGTTTCCCATTGCATACAGAAATTACATCTACACTGTACTGTAGTCTATTAAGTGTGCCATAGCATTACGTCTAAAAATGTCCATCCCTTAATTCAAAAATACTTTATTGCTAAAAAATGTTAACGATTACCTGAACTTTCAGTCAGTCGTAATCATTTTGCTGGTGGAGGGTCTTGCCTCCATGTTGGCAGCTGCTGACTGATCAGGGTGGCAGTTACTGAAGGGTAGGACAATTGTGGCAACTTCTTTTTCTTTTTGTGTGTGTGTGTGTGTGTGTGTGATATGCGGGCCTCTCACTGTTGTGGCCTCTCCCGTTGCGGAGCACAGGCTCCGGACGCGCAGGCTCAGCGGCCATGGCTCACGGGCCCAGCTGCTCCGCGGCATGTGGGATCCTCCCGGACCGGGGCACGAACCCGTGTCCCCCGCATCGGCAGGCGGACTCTCAACGGCTGCGCCACCAGGGAAGCCCTGTGGCAACTTCTTAAAATAAGACATCAGTGAAGTTTGCTGCATCGATTGACTCTTCCTTTCATGAACAGTTTCTTGGTGGCATGCAATGCTGTTTGATAGCATTTTACCCACACTAGAACTTCTTTCATAAGTAGAGTCAATCTCTCAAACCCTGCTTCTGCTTTATCAACTAAGTTTATGTCATATTCTAGATCCTTTGTTGCATTTTAACAATCTTCACAACATCTTCACCAAGAGTAGGTTCCATCTCAATAAACCACCTTCTTTGTTCATCCATAAGAAGCAATCCCTCATCAGTTCAAGTTTCATCATGAGATTGCAGCGATCCAAGTCCATCTTCAGGCTCTACTTTTTTTTTTTTTTTTTTTTCTGAGACAAGAATCTCTTTTTATTTAACATTGCAGGGTTAGAAAGTAAGGACCAGGCAGAGCAGGAGACAGTACAAATAATCAAATGGAATATAACCCTTACATTTTCATTTGAAAGACAGAAAAAAATAAGCTTTAAAGTGACATGTGTTTATTGTATGCTGTATCAAAGCAAAAGATATGGACATAGATATACAGACATAGATATAGATATCACATTTTCTTTACCTGTTCATTCATCAATGGACAATTAGATTGTTACCATGTCATGGCTGTTGTGAATAATGCTACAATGAACATGGGGGTGAAGATATCTCCTCAAGATACTGATTTTGTTTCCTTCAGACATATACCCAGAAATGAGACTTCTGGATAATATGGCAGTTCTGTTTTTATTTTTATTTATTTTTTGCGGCACGCGGACCTCTCACTGTTGTGGCCTCTCCCGTTGCGGAGCACAGGCTCCGGATGCGCAGGCTCAGCGGCCATGGCTCACGGGCCCAGCCGCTCCGCGGCATGTGGGATCTTCCTGGACCAGGGCACGAACCCGTGTCCCCTGCATCGGCAGGTGGACTCTCAACCACTGCGCCACCAGGGAAGCCCTGTTTTTAATTTTTTAAAGAACCACCATAATGCTTTCCACAGTGGCAGCACCAATTTAAATTCCCACCAAACAGTGTTCAAGGGTCCCTTTTTCTCTACATCTTTGCCTACCTTTTTAATCTTTTTTAAATTATCATAGCCATCCTAACAGATGTGCCATGATATGTCATTGTGGTTTTGATTTGCATTTCCCTGATGATTAGTGATGTTGAACACCTTTTTGTGTACCTGTTGTCCATTTATATGTCTTTGGAAAAATGTCTATTCAAGTCCTTTGACCATTTTTACGTTGGATTATTTGGGGTTTTTTTGTTTTTGTAATTAAGTTGTATGAGTTCCTTATATATTTTGGAAATTAAGCCCTTACCAGACATCTGATTTGTAAATATTTTCTCCCATTCCATAGGTTGCCTCTTCACTCTACTAATTGTTTCTTTTGCTGTGTAGAAGCTTTTCAGTTTGATGTAGTCTTGCTTGTTTATTTTGCTTTTGTTGCCTGTGCTTAGGGTGTCATATCAGAAAATTTATTGCCAAACCCAATGTCAAGAAATTTTTCTCTATGTTTTTTTCTAGGAGTTGCATGGTTTCAGGTCTTACATTTAAGACTTTAATTCATTTTGTGTTAGTTTTTGTGTATGATATGAGATAGTGGTCCAGTTTTCCCAATGCCATTTATTGAAGAGACTATCCTTTCCCCGTTGTGTACTCTTGGGACCCTTGTCAAAGATTAATTGACCACATCAGGCTCCACTTCTAATTCTAGTTCTCTGGCTATTTCTATCACATCTGCCATTACTTCCTCCACTGAAGTCTTGAACCCCTCAAAGTCATCCGTGACTTCTTCCAAACTCCTGTAAATGTTGATATTTTGACCTTTCCCCATGAATCATGAATGTTCTTAATGGCATCTAGAATAGGGAATCCTTTCCAAAAGGTTTTCAATTTACTTTACCCAGATCCATCAGCGGAATCACTACCTATGGCAGCTATAGCCTTACAAAATCTGTTTTTTACATTTTCATTCCTCATCTCACCTGTCATAGTCTATCCAGACCCAAAGCATGACCACAGGGTAACCAGCTGACAATGCACCAAGTTCTTTAGCCTACAATTCCTGTATTGATGGATTGTCTAATTGACTAAAGTATTTCTTGATTCAACAAACATTTATTTGTAGTTTTTACTTTGTTCTAGGTGCTCTTCTGGACTCTGAGTATAAGAAAGAAGGAGAAATTTTGCCCTCCTGGAGGAGCTCAGAGAGCTTTTTGTTCCAGGTCTTACTGATAGAGAGTAGCAGAGTCAAGGTGAGAATCCAGGTGTCATGATTTCTGGCTTAGTGCTTTTGCTATAAGGCCACATTGTTTCTGAAGTTTAAAAGTCTGACCAATACCAAAAGCAGAAAATGCTTCACAGTGATGTAAACAAATCAGTACCTCTAATTTACGGTAGGTTACTAAGGGCCTCAGTATTCTGGAACTATTAAAAGTAACCTATGGAATCTGAGGTAAGGGGCCCTAAAGTCCCTACAATAGGGATCAAATTCTAAACCTAAGAAACATCCCCAAAGACAAGTACTAAAACATCAAAGGTATTGGTTTTAAAATATAAAAGCACAAAAGCAAGTATTTAAAGTATCAAGACAAGTATTTAAATGTAATTGAGGTCCTTTCTTAATGACTAAGTTAAAGCGATTATACACGTGGGAGATGGGATATCTTCAATTTCCAGCTTGAGCAGCTCTTCCTTACTCCTTGCTGTAGAGAGAGACTTTTAAGACTTGGTGGCTGATTGCACTTGTACCTCTTCATCAGGAAAATAAAGCACTCAAAGCAGGGCAAAGAGGACTCACAATTTTTGAGTGTCATTGAGATGCCCTGAGTTTTATGCGTGTTGTGTCATTTAATCAACAAAACAGTCTTATGTGGTAGGGATTTTTGTCTTCATTTTACTGAAAACTAAATTCAATTTTTTTTTTTTGACCGTGCTGCATGCTGCATGGCTTGTAGGATCTTAGTTCCCCAACCAGGGATTGAACCCGGGCTCTCAGCAGTGAAAGTGTAGTCCTAACCATTGGACCACCAGGGAATTTCCTAAATTCAAATATTTTAAATACTATGCCCAAGGACACAGTTTGTAAATGGTAGACTCAGAAATGATGGGACTTCCCTGGCAGTCCAGTGGTTAAGACTCTGCTGCTTCCATTGCAGGGGGCAGGAGCCCTGGTCAGGGAACTAAGATCCTGCATGCTGTGTGGCATGGCCGAAAAAAAAAAAAAAAGTAAAAAGAAATGAAACTAGGCTGGTTTAGTTCCAAGGTTCATGTTCTTTGCAGCATACCATGCCACCTTCAGGGATAAGAACAAAATTTAAAGGAGAGAAAAAAAACCCTGAAGATGAAGTAGGGAAGATTATAAATAAGGAAGAAGGGCTAACATTTAGATATTTTTTTTGATTAACAGATATACCAGCAGAAGGGCTGGGCTTATGATGTTTGTTATTCTCTAATCAAACATCACTTTTCAACACGTGGTGCCAGAAACCAAGCTCAGGTCCCTCCCTTACTTGTCCTGTACCCAGGAGCAAACTTTTGTACTCATTGAGAATTTCTGAAAGATTCTGCCTTCATCAAGAAGTAGAAAGATAAAATCCTGTGCTCTGGAGGCAGAGGACCTGTGTTTAAATACCACATTTGCCACCAACTAGATATACGTAGACAGATTTTTTAACTTTCTTGTGTTTGAGTTGTCTCAATGGGGATAATAATAATAAAGCCTCACTCCTAAACTCATGGGGAGTAAATAAGATGATACGTAAAAAGAATCTAATATGGTGTCTAGTCCAAAGTGAGTGTTCAAAAATGTTGATTTTCCTATTACTATTTTAAAACAAAACAAGCATGATAGGTATAAATTGCTTCTCTATACTCAGAGGCAAGAAATGACACATCTCTTTATATTGTAAACAAAGTTTGGTCCATTTCAAGGATTAGTAAAAAGTCCCCTGATTAATTTGGAGATCTCACTCCTACCCTTTGGAGCATATATGTTTAGAGTTTATGAGTCTCATTGGAGGAAGATCATTGTTGATGTCCAGGCTTATGTGCCCTATTCAGAGATGGTGGCTCTACTACCCAAATCAGGCCTCTTCACCAAGCACTTGTTGTCATTTCTATCCAAGGTTCTATCACTCATTTGATTGTGGCCAGGTCACCACCAATCCCATAAACCCAAATCCAAAGGTCTTCTTTCCCAGTCTTTGGGGTCTAACCAGGCATTTTGGGTCTGAGTCATTCCCTCTTCAATATCTTCTGTTCCTACCTCTTCTCAGATACCTGAGCCTACATCTCCTTAACACACAAGCCTCTGTAGTTATCACCTTCAAAGAGCCAAAACTTGCCTGGCATATTCTCTTCTCTGGCTCTGAAGAAAAGGCTTTCTTTCTTCACCAGGGGGTAGTGGTAAGGCAGAACCCAGAACTTTAGAAACACAATTCTGGTTTATCCTTACTGACAGAAGAGGAGAAACTTTATTATTTTCCGGTGAGATGGCATCAGAAAAAAACTCAAAGTAACAAGAAACTTTCTCAATAAATTACCTTGTTAAATACATATATATACACTTATATATATAAATATATATATATAAATATATATATATATATATACACCATTTTATATATATAAAACCAGTGTATCTGTAAGATACTGTAGGAAATGCGAGGAACTTACCCTCTAGTTAGGAAGTGAGACCTAGTCAAGATAAAACAACTGAGACACTTCTGACCTTCCTTCTATCAAAAATCTGAATATCCTTGAAGTGATTTTAAAACATGACAATTTTAACTAAGCACTAGTTTGGAGAGTCACATCTCTGCCTGAAAATATACTTTGATGGCCATAATCTTTGTCTTCCTGCTTCAGTGACGTGGAGACGGATTGGATGCCAGGGTGACAGAGAATCTTCCTAGCTGATTGGGTTTCTGTAGACACAACAAAGGCCATACTTTAAATTAGCTCCAACAGTCTAATCAGAATGAACAGACTACTTGGGTCTGTGATGAAGACATATTGGCAGCTGGTGAAGGCTTCCTAGAGGGATTTTGGTGAAAACCCAAAGTATATTAATGCTGAAAGCAGTTTGATTCCAGTGTAAGGATTAAGGGTGATTTAGAAGGAAATGTTTATGCTAACAATTCATTTCTATTTTAATTTTCTTTCAAGTTTGTCTTTATGTATTAGCTTTAAGAATCATGCAAGATAATGATTTTTCTCATCTCTTTCATCAGTGGTTTAAAAATATTAATTCGTTAAAATAATCACACTCAGGAGCATTTTGATATCTCAGACCACCTCATCAGGATGCCCACTACGATCTGGGAGGAAAATGTCCTAACTGCAGATTCATGTCTTTTGGTTCAGGAAACCAATTGCATCTTGATTCTACAAACTTGAGCACATTCATAATCTAAGGAAAATCTATATCACTTGTTATTTGAAGACACGGAACTTACTCTCATAATGAACTTTTCCAGAATATATCTTTTTTTTTTACATGTTTTTAAAAGTAACTAGAAAACTATCTTAAGTTGGGTTTCCTGGGAAATAAAATTTGAGCCAGAAGTTTCCATGCAGGATGTTAACTGAGGAGTGCTCTTGGGATCAACACCTGTGATGGAGAGAAAGGTGGAGAATGGCAGAGGGAAGGGTTGAATTGTGATGCAATCACAACAAAGCCTCATTGGATCCTAAAGGGAGTTCTGAAACTGGGATTAATCTTCAGAGTTGGACCTTTATTCTTATTCATCAAACAATGAGTGGATTTGGGCTGCCCATGAGAAGGGGAGGTGACCTTGAGTGAGACTCCTCTCCTGTTGTGGGCGAATGCCAGTGAAGGGCTCAACTGAGGACCTTCAAACATTAGCTGAGGCTCCTAGCATCCATTACAGTCTACCCGTTGAGTTTTTCAGATCCATTTTTTTTTTTTTTCAGATCAACAGCTTTATTAAAAAACGAAAGCAGAGCCCCCCCTTCCTGCGCCCCCCGCCCCCGGTCATGGCGGCATCGGCCTCAGGCTCTGAGCATCCAGGCATCCTAAGGGTAGAAGACGAGCTCAGGGATCAGGTACCAGAGTCCGGAACATGAGAGCGGCCGCAACCGGGCCCGGAGCGGCGGCACGTGTCGGGGCCTGGGTTTCACCTCCCCACACGGAGGAGAGGGCGGTGAGCTGAGACCCCGGTGGCTCTGGGCGCCGAGTCTCACCTGCGGCCACGGCCAAAGCCGCAGGTGATTTTCAACCAACGCCGAGATCCATTTGTTTTGCAGGATAAATTCTGGGAACAATTTCTCTGGAATTCTGATTGGTCTCTTTTTGGGGGAACACTTGCCTGAGAAAGGTTAGTGGGATGAATTACCAGCCCATCTCTGCAATTGATCTCAAGGCTGCAATAGATACTCTTCTTTCCTTCCTCTACTATCCTTTGCTACCCATTTCTCCCACTCTTGGCTACCATCTCTCTTGGTTTAGATTACTTGACCTGGTAATCCAGACTTCAATCCTGAGGAATCTAAATCCCTGGTCACTATATCCATGGCTATTGCACATAACCATTTATCAATAAAATTGGCAAGGGAAAAACACAAGACATTCCAGTGGATCACCTGAGTACTACACATTATGCCTTCATTGTTTAAGGGTAGCCTTATCACTTCCGATTGATCAGGGTGCGTTGCTTCTAGCAATATGGCTACTCTTTTCCTTCTCTACTGGTTTCTTGGAATAAGGAGTCTCATGTGAGGTTTCATGAGAGTCTTGTTTGGTTTCCTGGTGAAAATATTTCCCTTCTGGGAACTAGACCACTAAACTTATGAAGTCCAGAGTTTCAAGAGTGAGTAGCATGAATTCCCCAAGTGGCCCACTTCTACTGTAGTTCATTATTTCTAGATCCATGTATTCTATTTATTGAGGGCACAGCTCAATTTGAAGGTTGCTTTCCTAGGATATATGCTGCTTGTAAAGGATATTGTCCTATTCACGTATGGAATCATATTCTAATTTTTGTCTCACTTGTGCCTTCAAAAACCTCTTCCTTTACTCCATCAAACCAATTGTTTCTGGATGGTATGGTATGTGCGTATGTGATAGGTCTATGGTCATATACCCACTGCCATCCCTCCTTTTCTGTAAAGTGAGTTTCTTAGTCTGGAGTAATGTTAGATGGAATTTTATGCCGATGGGTCAGACACTCTCTAAGCCTTAGCATAGGAAGTAAGGCAAACTCATGCTTGAAATCTGTGCCCATTATGGTCAAGATGGATAACTGCCCCTTCCAGAGCAGAAGGGTTAAATGTATTTAAGTTGACACTAAGTGGCTGTTTTGATCTCCCTGAGAAATGATGCCATATCTGGACCCAGCATTCGTCTCTTACCATCACTTTAAATCTCTGTGGCTGGCTGGTTGAACATTTGGCAGCAGGAGCAGTGACTAGATCAACCTTGATGATTGAGTGTCCATGCTAAGCCCATGCATAGTCTTCATGTCACCATCTTAACTACTCCACTATTGCACCCATTGTGTTGACAGTGGAATGGCCATTGGCCAAAACTGGCCAACCTCAACTGATTGAGTCATTCTGTCTTAATATTTATTGAGTTCTTCTGGGGGACAAGTGCTGTCTTCCAAGCCTCTGACCAACTGGCCAATCCATTTTCCACTAACTGTATATAGATTTATATATATATATATCTTGAAACACCTCTCTTTTTACACAATGTGGATCATCGGGTATCCCAACCACATCTCTGCTCAATGTGAGGATTTCCTCTCACAACTGTCTTTCAGGGCCACTTCTAAGTAAGGATTCAGTTTCAGCTGGTTCCACACACACCAAGATGACCCATTTTCAGCCTGAGCCATATATACCAAGACCAATTTTTTCCTTCAGCATTCTCAGATCATAAGGGAACCCAGATGAGGCCATAGGAGTGAGCTGAGGTGCAACAGTGGTAGCTGACATGGGCTACCTGCCTGTAATGGTCTTGTGCTATTGCCTCTGAACTTGCATGTGTCTGATCCCAAATGTACCACTTCCCTTAGATTTCTGGGCACACAATCACTTGATATTCTTGTTAAGTTACTTAGAAATGGCCTTATCCTTTTGGTTCTTGCTTTAAAGATTTGTTAGTGAGTGCAGGAAAAGAGTTCAACCTAGAGCTAATTACTGAGACAAAACTCTTCTGAGTACCCTACTCCATGCCTCATGAATTACAAGGTTTTCCAGCCTGGCTGCAGGGAACAAGGCCCCTTTCCTATGTCTGAGCCCCAGATATTGTTTCCTCTAGTCCTTTTGGGTGATTCTTTCCTGAGTCTTGGGTGATTTTTCTCACATCACGTGCTGATCAGTACTCAGCTGAATGGTCTAAGGGAGCCTCTGCATCCTCTCGGTACCCACTCTCTGATCTATAGCCCTCTGCCCTGCAAACTCTAGCTGCCTTGTTTTCCCCAGACCCTCTTGTTTCCTCAACTAAACAAGTCTGCTGAGCTCTGCTTCAGTTTCCCCTCTTTGAGCTTGTAAGCTCTCGGGACAGTAACCTGGAGCAATCACAGAGTTCAGCTCGCTTTTTCATCCCCTCAGGGATCCCTGTCTTCCACTGCCTAATATCTAGTATGTTGAAAACTATTGTTTCCTGTATTTCTTCCATTTATTTAGTTGTTTCATGTGGAAGCATAAATCAGGCCTGTGTCCTTGTGTATTAAGACCAGCTCAGACCTGGTATTCAATAATCCTATAATCATCTGGGTATTCCCTTTTCCCAGTATATGCGATTGGGCATAAGGATATGTCACAGCAAACATTTTGATTTCAATGTGAAACAAAAAACCAGTTCTGAGATATTTTGTTTGTCCGTTATGTCTATAGCCTATGCACAGAAAATCCATGTTGTATATATGTTTATTATTTATCCCTAGAATTAGGTTACTCGTCATGTGCCCTCTGAAAGTATTTCATTTGTACATTTATTTGGACTCTAATTACCTGGGTACTTGTTATTTTGCTGCCCAATATCAATTATTCCTTCCTAAAAGTCCTCTGAATTTTATTATTGGGATGATAGCTTCTCCATTTCATTCCTCTATCCAAGGGCACCTGATTCATGGGAGGCCAATCCTGTGCTCCCATTCTGTTCTCAGAAAATGGTCATTCCACCTGGGCAGGGACAGCCTCACCAGATCCTTTCTGCTATCATTCCTCTATGGTGGTCCTGCATCTTAGCCTCCCGTCTGGTCTTGGTGGCTCTCAGTGCTCTAGTTTGGTTCTCCAGTCTTCCATCAATTCTGAGAGTCTCCCCAATCCATCCAATTTATTTCCTTTTCCATAACATATCCAGAGGACAGTTCTATTTACATTCAATAAATGACCTATCCAGCTTTGTATTATGGTTATGTACATTTCTCTCTGCAACTAGATTGTAAGACAGTGGAGAGCAAGACCCATGATTTATCCATCTTCTTGTCTTCTAGAGGAACAAGAAGAGATGCAGATGCTAAACAAACGGTGCATTAAATTTAATCAATCATCAAATGTTTTTAGCATCTTACTTGTGAAGGATATATTATTTACATACATGAATATGTCACAGTCTTTAAGTCCAACAGAAGTCATAGAATCAACCTCGCCTTGACCTATCTTCCTGAGAGAGCTTTTGGATAGGAAACGTGCATTTCCTATCCGAAAGTATACAGGAATGGAGTAAAGTCCTTTGCGTACAACTGCAAAAATCTCGAGCCATTTTTGCAAAATCTAGTCTATGACCTCCCAAATCTATAAATTGCCATTAATAATATCTAACTCTCCTTTCTCATGGACACCTTTTCATGCCTGGGCATTGATTTGCTATTTTTATATTTTCTTCCAGTTAACTGTTTCTTCCTCTGAGGTCCAGGATTGAAAACTGTGCTCTGTTACTTATTTCTTTACTTATCCCCACCATATGTATGAAGATGTTTTCCAAATCTTTATCTCAGCACGTAATTTCCCAGCTCTGCTCCAGTTTTACACCTACTCTTGCCTGAGTGACATGGGCATATACGTGTACTGCCACCCATCCAAGCTAAATCTGGCACAAAGTGAACTTTTCACCTTTTAAACTGTCACCTTGTCATTTTTCCCATCATCATTAAAAATACCATCAGCCCCCAGACTTAGAAAGTGGGATATATCCTCTATTTTATTACTCTACTCTCACAGATCAAGTCTACGAGTCATAGTTCCCCAAAGTAAATTTTTTCCTGGACTTCCCTGGTGGCACAGTGGTTGAGAGTCCGCCTGCCAATGCAGGGGACGCAGGTTCGTGCCCCGGTCCAGGAAGATTCCACGTGCCACGGAGCGGCTGGGCCCGTGAGCCATGGCTGTTGCACCTGCGCGTCCAGAGCCTGTGCTTTGCAATGGGAGAGGCCACAACAGTGAGAGGCCCGCGTATTTTCCTTTAACTCTCTTCACCTATATATATGCTGACAAAAGAAACAAAATCAGACATGTTTGGAACTAATTAGTAGAGTTAATCTATAGGAAGGAATAAAATCTGATTCACACAGCCATCTCTCATTGGTATTTCTGGGAACCTAACATCTCTAGCCGTAACCCTGAATTGATTTGATTCAGGTAGGAAGGACACAGGATCAGAATGAATTTTTTATTTTTTTATCTATGGCCATTATGGACTAGTTTAGTTTAGTTTCAATTTGTTTTGTATTTTATCCACTTAAGCATAAAAAGATGGTTGGATTCTTCTAAAGGTAATAAGATAGTCACAAGATCCTACAGGTAAAAAAAAGTACTAAGAAGGGACACAATATATTTTTGAAACCTAGATTTGTTTTTTCTTCATTTAAAAAAAATTTTATTGGAGTATAGTTGATTTACAATGTTGTGTTAGTTTCAGGTGTACAACAAATTGAATCAGTTATATATATGCATATATTCTTTCTTTTTCAGATTCTTTTCCCATACAGGTTATTACAGAATATTGAGTAGAGTTCTCTGTGCTATATAGTAGGTCCTTATTAGTTATCTATTTTATATATAGTAGTATTTATATGTTAATCCCAGTCTCTTAATTTATCACTTCCCCCTACTTTTCCCCTTTGGGAACCATAAGTTCGATTTTGAGATCTGTGAGTCTGTTTCTGTTTTATAAATAAGTTCATTTGTATCATTTTTAATTAGATTCCGCATATAAGTGATATTGTATGATATTTGTCTTTCTCTGTCTGATTTATTTCACTTATGATAATCTCTAGGTCTGTTCATGTTGCTGCAAATGACATTATCTTGTTCTTTTTATGGCTGAGTAATATTCCATTGTATATATGTACCACATCTTCTTCATCCATTC